ATTGAAAATGTTCTGTAACTTTGAAATGTTGTAAAATAAAATTCAACAGCCAACACATATTGCAAAAGTTGCTGCAAACCCATGTCTCAGTACTAATGATTACATGTTGAACTTCCGTTTCCTATTTTCAGTGCATGTGTGATCGTCCTTTAGATTTTATCGTATTCTAGTACATAATTTTATATGTTCTACATTTTTCATATTATCAACAAATTGTTAGCCGGTAGGAAACAGTACTTTTCAGTGTATTTTGAGGAAAGTTGCTAAATGCCTCCTTACTACGAAAATTCTCCTAAAGTGGTTTCTCTCACAAAAATTTCTGGCTGCGCCATAGGCAGTGGGGATACTAGAAAAACGCCTTAGATATTGGAGTGAGTCTCACCGCTTATAACATAACTTGTAGTTAGAATGAGAGCGAAAAGACCAGCCATGGAGTGTACTTGCAGTGTTAAGACTTGAGGTAAAAATAAGTGAATGACTGACTCGGGCTGCAGCGGTCATTAGCGTCGCGATATCTGACACAGTTGCCCCATAGCCCGTTTTTTCGTCCACCAGTTGACACTGCAGTTTCATTTGACGGCCGTTTAGGCGAAAAGTTTGTTCGTACATCGATTTCGGCAGAGTCATTTCCCGGTCATCCGGAACTTCGTCATCTTCAGTAACATCACCCTGTAATTTCAGCAGCTTTTGTCATATATTATTCCAGGCACTTATTTTGCACGGTGCTGGTTAAATAACTTTTGTTTTTCCTTGCAGCACCAACTTATTTTTTTGTTTCATGGATAACTTCTTTTGAAACGAATTTATGCGTTAAAATTATGGCATCACTCTCCTTCGAAGCTATGTGTGCTTGAAATTCGGACGTTTTTGGTACTGTAGAAACAGTCGATCCATCTCTCTATTATTTCTGAAGAGAAAATGAAGGTGTTGGCCAAAAAAGGTCGTATGACTGGAAAAGCTTAACGATAAGACATTAAATTCGGCAAGATCTGAGAAAACCAGACTTGTTCCGCTGACGTTACTGCAGAAAGCAGGCTATGTTGCAGAGACTAAAATTTTGCCCAAAAGGCATTTATTTCAACGGGTGAGGCTCTAAACAAGCTGGAGAGGTGCAAGTCTTAAATGTGGAAACAGCAATTTTTGAAAAATTGCGAAGGCTCCATTTCAAAGCAGTCAACTTTCTGTTTCTTCATACGCCACTGCATATGGAACTTGGCATTTGACGTAGGGTAATGCGACAACATATATAAGAAATACTTCTAGCGCTAAAATTAACACAGATTCTCGTGCATTTGCAGGAACCGATGCGTTCTTTTTCAGGCTGCTGAACTGCAGATCTTAGTATGCACATCTGCGCACTTATAATACAGTAC